GCTTGATTCTGATTGGCTGAGCCGTGTTCGAAGCTGTTGTAAATTACTCTACAAACATACACCTTTGTTTACTTCTGTGTGTTGCTCGGCAACCACTTTGTTACATTTCTACAAACAACTACATTGTTTGGTGGAAGAATACTGTTTTTATTTATATCATTACACTTTATGATATATATTTTCAGCAATTTTATCTAATTTCATGCAACTCACATTTTAATTGTATTTTTATTTAATAATAATGCTTAATAATAATAATAATAATATTATTACTACTACTACCTATTTATTTAGTTCATTCATTAATTTATTACATTTATTTGTTTATTCATTTAATTTATTATTTCTTTTTTATTTCATTTGTGTTTGTATTTTGATTTTTATATTTTATTTAAAATTTCAGCAATTTTTATATCGTATTTTATGCAACTTTGTCAACAAAATTGTATTTTTATTTTTTTAATAATAATTATCTATTTAGTTTATTCATTTTTTTAATTAATTATTTATTTTATTATTAATTCTTTTGTTTTTGTTTGTTTTATATTTCATTTAAAATTCAGCAATTTTATCTAATTTTATGCAACTTTCACAATTTAATTGTGTTATTATTAAATTATTTAATAATAATACTTATTATTATTATTATTATTACTACCTATTTATTTCATTCATTCATTTTTTTACATTTATTTTTATCTATTCATTCAATTTATTATTTATTTTTTTATTATATTTATATTTATGTATTTTGTTTGTTTTATATTTTATTTAAAATAATTTCAGCAATTTTATGTCATATTTTATGCAACTTTTTGTCATCTAAATTGTATTTTTATTTTTTAATAATAATAATAATAATTATTATTACTATTATTGTTATTATTATTATCTATTTAGTTTTATTTTTTTAAATATTATTAATTATTTATTAATTTATTTTATATTTGTATATACATTTATTATCCATTTGTTTTGATCATCGACAGCATGTCCCAGAGTACCTGAGAAGTTTGTACACAGCGCCACCTAGTGTTCCAGAGATATAACAATGATTATTATTATTATTAATATTATTTTGAATAAACAAATCGATCATGCCGTTTAATTGCTTGAAATACTATAGTGAATATAAATTAAGTCTGAACTTCTGATTGCTTCTGAGAGTGCAGCCTCTAAAATTACAATATGATAAATGAAGGATAACTGACAGCCGTGTGTGTGTGTGTGTGTGTGTGAGACAGGAAACGGCAGAGTTTTGTCTGGTGTGTGTTCAGGGTAAAGCTGACGAGGATCTGGAGTGTGACGAGAACATCCCGAGCCGTGAAGTCCACCTGCGCCGACAGGTAAAGCCCTTTACATCACATTATATCATAGTCTTCAGATGATTCCCCGTTTGTTTCGATGAGAGGAGCTCAAACAGTCGATGACGCAGATGAACATCACGGGTTTAATACTCCCAGAAAATACATGCACTTTGAATGCAATGCAAGTCATTTAGGATAAATGCATGAATATAAATGCAACATTTGTCATTTTCAGGCAGTCTGTTTCTTTAAAAACATGCTGTGTTTTCTCTGAAACAAGAGCACTAGATGAAATCTGCATTCATGTGGTTTCTTCTTCACCTGTGTTTTGTAAAAGCCCAAAAGAAGGAAAAAGAAATGTTGTTCTGTGTCCTGACGGGCTGGAGGTGAGATGGGTTCTGCGTTCGCAGTCACTGCAGCTTTGCATGTTTGCTAACACGTCGCCAGCATTAGAGCGTGTTCGCATTAGATCTCGACACACTCACTGCACAGGAGCTCAACATTTATCTGAACAGGCTCAGGGTTTGAGCCTCTTGATTCGAGCTTGCTGAGCTGTGAAACAGTATTTTGCATTTAAAATTTTTTTTTTTTTTTTTTTTTTTAATGAAATGTATACATTTCTGTCCATATGCCAAGGAATTATAGGCTCGCTCTTCTGAGACCCATTTAATAAATTCCTTGTTTTTCTTTAGGGTTAGGGTTTCCTTTTTTTTTTTTTTTTCTCTCTCTCATTTAATGTTTTGTTTTTGTCATTCATATTTTATGCATTTATATTTTTTGTTTTTATTTTAATATTTAGTTCTGGTTTGTATTTTATGTATCAAGTCATTTGTTTGCTCTTTATTTATATTTTATGTATTTATCTATGGTTTTATTTATATTATGTATTTTTATTTCTTTGTGTTTTTGTATTTTCTGTATATATTTGTATTTATTTTAATTTTTTGGAATATTTATTTTAAGTGTTATGTCTTTATCTATTTTTTTTTTTTTTATTTATATTATGTATTAAAGGTGGCATATCATGAAAATCTGACTTTTCCAGGTTTTAAGTGCTTTAATCAGGTCCCCAGTGCATCTACCAACCAAGGAAACGTGAAAAAGATGAACCCAGTAACTTTGTTTTGGGAAGCATTTTTCTGCAAGCGTCTGAGAAAACGAGCGCGTCTGATTTCGCTCCCTTGGTGACGTGGCAAAGGGATCTCATTATAATATTACCGCCCCTTAATCTGTAAGTTTCCACCCACGGCGCCTGTGTTTTCGGAAGCGACAACGGTGTAGCAGTTCTAACGCCATGAAGAAAGTTTGAGCAAAACACACTAACTGTTCTGTGTTTGGCTGCACAGACGAGCACAGAACACTGTTTAGAGTCCCAGCCTCAGAGGAGACAACAGAGCAGTGCATTTATTGATTTATTTACTGTATATTGCTGCTGCCACACAGATCTAAAATAAACATGCGATTTATTTCCCAGCTGTTTACCTTCACAGACATAACCCAGTTTTTGTAACTCGTGTGTTTTTAAGGTAAACTTGTGCGTGAATGAGAGCTTAGTTTAGTACTCACATGCTGTGACAGCTGCTTTCTGTGCGTGTGCTTCAGATGTGTGCACTCAGAAAACCATATATCTGAAGTTTAAAGTTTAAAACGCATGATTTCAGCGCGATAAACATGACAATCAGAACCAAAACAGATGTGTTTAGTAGGTCTGAGCTGTAATGGCGCAGCTCTATTCTGGAAAAGGGGGCGGGGAGCAGCAGCTCATTTGCATTTAAAGAGACAGGCCCGAAAAACAGCATGTTTCTGCTTCCACTCAAAATAGGCATTTTCAAAATGATATAATAAATGATCTGTGGAGTATTTTGAGCTGAAACTTCACAGACACATTCTGGGGACACCTGAGACTTATATATTGTAAAAAGGGGCATAGTATGTCTCCTTTAAGTCATTTTGTTTATGTATTTTCTTATATTATGTATTTATCTTTTTATTTATATTATATATTGATTGATTTTATGTATTTTTTTTCTTATGTTTGCATCTATTTTCCATGTACTTAAAGGTCAATCTACTAGAAAGACTGACATCTTTAATCTGCAATTAAATCTGACAATAATGGTATGGTAAATCTACCGTAACAAACTGCTTTTTTTCAGGCTGGCAGATGCATGTTTAACTTCTGTTTGTTCATCTGGTGAATCTGCTGTGTGCATGAATGTCGTCTCTAGACTGCAGCTTGATTCAGATGTGAACGTTTGTGCTCTGCTTTAGTTCATTCAGTCGTTCTCATGCAGATATTTGTGAATAATCTGTGTGTGTTTCAGGCTCAGAGACACAATCAGGACGCTAGCTGTGCCGTCATGTGAGTCTCGACTCAACTTCAGACGCTCGTCTAACCGTTCGCTCGCACTTATCACATCTGATAACTGTTCAGAGCTGAAACTGGATTTTTTTATGTGAATTCTTTGCTGCTGTTTGTTCAAATAATAAAGTTTAAAAAACTGCTAGGCTATAAATTCAAATAAATGCTTTTTGCAAAATCATGTTTAAAGATTATTTTTTCATGTCTTGAATGATCATGATGTTTCCGTTAGGTTTTTTTTATAGTGCTGGTTTTACAAAGTAAAACCCATAGTTCTTGAGTTGATTTATATGATTCTTTGGAGCATAATAAAGGTATTTATGTTCCATTATATTTTATTCAGATCAAGAACAGGACAATTAAGTTCAGTAACATCTGAATTCAAATCCCTGTTGATTTTAATGGAGAATTTCTAGACTTGAGAGAAAAGTAAAAAAAAAATAATAATATATTGGTGTGAGAAACCTGTGTACATTTACATGAAATAAACACCATGATTGCTATAATCATGGCAACCACAAATTATCTGTGGTTTTGCGTCACTAACCATAGTTTAACCATGGTATTTGTAGTAAAACGCCAAAAAGAAAAAGTTACATTTTTACTATAATAAAACCATGGTTGTTTTCTTAAGGGATTTATATCAGTGTAAAAAAAAATTTTTATTTTTTATTTTACTGCTTTAATGGTTTGTTTTGTACGGTTTAATAAAAAAAAAAAAGAAATCAGAAAAAAAAGATTTGCGATACCGGCTCCAAAGTTCCGATTTAAATCAAAAGATTCACGAACCGGCTCCGAAGTTCTGATCTAAATCAAAAGATTCGCGAACCGGCTCCGAAGTTCCGATCTAAATCAAGTGATTCACAGTTTGCGCTCCGAAGTTCTGATCTAAATCAAAAGATTTGCGAACCGGCTCCGAGGTTCTGATCTAAATCAAAAGATTCGTGAACCGGCTCCGAAGTTCCGATCTAAATCAAAAGATTTGCGAACCGGCTCCGAAGTTCCAATCTAAATCAAAAGATTCGCGAACCGGCTTCGAAGTTCCAATCTAAATCAAAAGATTCGCGAACCGGCTCCGAAGATCCGATCTAAATTTTGTATTTTTATTTTACTGCTTTAATGGTTTGTTTTGTACGGTTTAATAAAAAAAAAAGAAATCAGAAAAAAAAGATTTGCGATACCGGCTCCAAAGTTCCGATTTAAATCAAAAGATTCGCGAACCGGCTCCGAAGTTCCGATCTAAATCAAAAGATTCGCGAACCGGCTCCGAAGTTCCGATCTAAATTTTTATTTTTTATTTTACTGCTTTAATGGTTTGTTTTGTACGGTTTAATAAAAAAAAAAAAGAAATCAGAAAAAAAAAGATTTACGATACCGGCTCCAAAGTTCCGATTTAAATCAAAAGATTTGCGAACCGGCTCCGAAGTTCCGATCTAAATCAAAAGATTCGCGAACCGGCTCCGAAGTTCCGATCTAAATCAAAAGATTCGCGAACCGGCTCCGAAGTTCCGATCTAAATCAAAAAATTCGCGATACGTGCTCTGAAGTTCCAATCTAAATCAAAAGATTCACGAACCGGCTCCGAAGTTCCAATCTAAATCAAAAGATTCGCGAACCGGCTCATCTAAATCAAAAGATTCACGAACCGGCTCCGAAGTTCCAATCTAAATCAAAAGATTTGCGAACCGGCTCAGAAGTTCCGATCTAAATCAAAAGATTCGCGAACCGGCTCCGAAGTTCCGATCTAAATCAAGTGATTCACAGTTTGCGCTCCGAAGTTCTGATCTAAATCAAAAGATTTGCGAACCGGCTCCGAGGTTCTGATCTAAATCAAAAGATTCGTGAACCGGCTCCGAAGTTCCGATCTAAATCAAAAGATTCACGAACCGGCTCCGAAGTTCCGATCTAAATCAAAAGATTCACGAACCGGCTCCGAAGTTCCGATCTAAATCAAAAGATTCACGAACCGGCTCCGAAGTTCCGATCTAAATCAAAAGATTCACGAACCGGCTCCGAAGTTCCGATCTAAATCAAAAGATTC